GTAACACAAGCGACAAACTCTATATTATATCGATAAGATTTAATTATATGTTTAAGAATTATTAAATATAGATAATGTAGCAAAATGTGTTGGTATTTAAAAGTCAGTGTGCCATTAATATACAACCTCACTATGAGGGTCAGTACTGGGATGGTTGACTGGTTCTATCGAGTGTTCCACTGTCTCACTGACGTTATAGCAGGTATGTATACTACATAATACCAATCTTAGACATATATACACGAAGCCCGCAAAAGTCAAATTCAACAATAGTAGCGTGATTTGCTGTTATCTTATACTCGTATATACTACTAGCTACTCACTCTCGCTTAGTTCGGTACCTTTTCTAGTTAAAAACAAAAGCCAATCTATCCCAAGGGAATCGTACATTTTTCCGGGATAACCACATGTGCTATTACAGACTGTAATTTATCTCTGTGCCAAATTTCATCCAGATCCGTTCAGCCGTTCTGGTGTGATTGAGTAACAAACATCCATCCAAAATTTCGTACCTATTTATAATATTAATGGGATTATTTTTAACGTTATTTTAATATTTATGATCTACTAGCTTTGCCCGCGGCTCCGCCCACGTTCAGATGACCAAAAGCCAAATTCGTAGTTTTTACATATTAGTATACATTGTAGTTTTTGTATTTTTTTTCTCAGAAATGAGACAATTTCCCGCGGTAAAAAGTATCCTTTATGTTGACCCGAATAACCAGCTATCACCATACCAAATTTCATTAAAATCCCTTTAGTGGTTTTTCTGTGATGCGGTAACAAACAGACAGACAAAAATTCAAAAAAACTATAGATTCGGCCTCTGTATCGATAGTAAAGTTTATTTCAATAAGATATGACAAAAAATATTTAATGTACAGATTCGGCTTAATTACAATTTTATTATATGTATAGATAATAAACTTTAACAATTTAATAATCGATACATAAAAAAAATTACCGATAGATCCTAGTCACCGCAATCTTTCCGTTAAGTTTTCTTTTGTTAAACTCAGAAACCTTTCCTCAATACTATATTATTGAAAGCATATTAATATTATTATAAAAAAAATCGATTTTTAGAGTTATAAAATATTTTCATAACTATATTAATCTTTGCATTTTGTAAATAACTTTTACAGTAATTGTTTAAATGTTTTTTTTTATCTATAGTGAGACCAAAGCTTTTTTGGAACTTGAAATATTTTTAGAACTTCATCTTTTGAAAGGCTTTTAGCTGTCAGAGATGTAACTCTTGTTTTTGATCTTATCCATGCTTGTGACATAACAGCGCTTTAGGGTTCTTTTATTTTTGGGAACAGAAAAGCTCAGGGCCATGTCTAGTGATGGAAGGCTGAAGCATAATTACAGTGTTGTTTTAACCAAAAATTCGCTACAACAAAAATAATGAAGTGTGAGCAGGTGCATTATCGTTTAAGCCATGAATTTTTTGTTACAATATAAGATGTATTCCTCTTTTTTTCTAACGCAACTTATTTCTTCCATTATTTGTACTCACATACAAACTAGTGCCATATTTAAAAAAAAATATATTTAAAATGAAAAATTTATGGAAATACCTGTTAATCCCGAACGGCAATTAAATTTTCTTTTGGACTTAATTTGACTTGACGATTTAAGCCCCCTTAAAACTCAATTTTAAGACACCTGAAATTAAGTACGCATCGAGTAAGAGGATATACTCGTAGATTACACATATGTTCACTTCAAAAAAGGAGTTTTTATTTCACCTGAGGTTCCAAAAATATCTATAATAATAACAGTAAAGATATCTATATAATAAACAATACACGATGCTACTATATAATGTGATAGTATTAGTATGTTAACTATGAACCGAATATTTTTTTTCAACTTGGCAATGATTTGATTTAATATTTTAAAAAAATTCTACACCTACTGCTTAAATATAGCATAAAAGTAATTAATTTTAAAATATATACGCCTTAATAGGAAAATATGATTTCTGTTTGTTTTAAAACCAGAAAAGTCTTTCGAACGTACAAGTAAATTAACATGTTGGGACATTAACACACAACACCATCTAGTTCCATGGTAAGCTACGAGGCTTGTGTTATGGATACCAGATAGTTGATACACTACACATATATAACTGTAAATACATACATATTATAATTAAAAATACCCATGACTGGAGTACAAACATTTGTGGTCATCACACAAATGAATGCCCCCAGTGGGCCTCGAACCCGCGACCGCTGGCACAGCAAATAGGGTCACTACAAACTGAACCAAACGTGTCATCAAATAATACACTGTAATAGCATAGCTTAAAACTCACTGGTTATTGATTAGTATGAATTTAGAATATTGAGACCAAAGTCTGTTTCAAATAATATAAGGAAATGAGATTAATTGGTACTATTGAATTATTGGATGTTCTAGACTAGCATAGGAGTTATTGATTGAAGCAGCTATCGAAGTTATTCAGTAATTGACCGACTTCAAAATGAGGGAATACTCTAAGGAAATATGTATCTAATGTATTTTTTGGAGTGAAACTTCTTTTGAATCGTTGTGATTTGAAACTCGATGAAACGAAAATGCGACACTAAAAAGAGACAAACACGTAAATATAGGATTAAGCCGGCGAGAGAATGAGATAGAAAACATTAACATGTTGCCATGGTTACCGTTGTTATTGTCTGGCAAATATATAATATTATATTTTTTCAGTATATGATATTCTATAAATATATAATTGTAATATGCCTAATATGCTTTATTTAATTATTGATTTGTTTTAATTGTGTAATTGTGATATAAATGCCAAAGAAGTTTTACTTTAATCGCGCGTAAAAGGTGATACGCACCCATTTATTTATATTTGTTTATATCGACGTCTTCACCAATTATTGTAAATTGATTTGTGAGTTAATAAGCTATAAGTTTGGGTGTATGTGTGTAAGTTTGTTACTTCTTCACTCTGAAGCGGCTGGACGGATTTAGATGAAATTTAGTTCACAGATAAGTTATGACCTGGAATAGTACATAGGCTCTACTGTTTGTCACCTAAAAACGCATTAGAGAGAAGCGAGAGTAAGTCGATGATCTATACTAATATTATAAAGAAGCAGGTTTTGTTTGTTTATTTGTTTGAACGCGCTAATCTCAAGAACTACTAATCCGATTTGAAAATTGGAATTTTGAATTTTTCGAATGATTGCGCGTTTGCGTTAATCGAGTAAAGGTAAATTTTACTACACTTTGTTAAATTTTGTTGATTCATCAATCAGAATAATTAGATTATAAAAGTTTTAACGGGCTTAAGCTCAGGAAGTGTCACTCAATTAGCTATCGAGTCGTTTATTCTTTTAGCAATTTGTAACATAAATAGCAAATAATGCTATGCTTACATCATGTCGTAGGCATTAGCATATTTATTTTTATTTTTAGTTGTAACAGCCATTATTAATATTAAATAGTATATATACAAATAATTATAATGTGGTCATTTTAGAATATAGATAAATATTTTAAGACTTTCGGTTCAGTTAGAATTTTATTATGTATTAATTATATTAAATACTAGCGCCTTACTCTTATTTCGCTCGGGTGGTCCCTGGGTACGTTTAATTTTTTTTAAGAATTCCTAATTCTTTTTCTTAAATAAAATGAGCCTAAATTACTCCTACAACATCAGCTATCTACCAGTGAAAGTCCCGTCAAAATCAGCCCAGCCGTTTCGGAGATTAGCCGGAACAAACAGACAGGCAGACCGACAAAAAATTAAAAATAATATTTTTTTCATATAAGTATATGCATTTATTAAAAAGCTGTATTTTTGACATTACAAATAGACATTTCAATTGTATTTATCTGTATAAATTTAAGCTTTGTCGGTTTTCATAAACACTAATTAGCTAATGACTTGTTTATAGGTATTAAGTGAAATTGGCCCTAAGCGTGAAAAGAGAAAGTGATGTCTCTTTTTATCACTACATGGCACCGTTTCAATTTTATATGAATCCACATTTACGTTAACGCGATCGAGTACGTTAATTAACACTCTAGTAGTACTTTATTGTAACATGTATATGTGTATAATGTGTTATAATTCTAATAATTAGGTATAGACTCAGCCTTTGTATCGATAATGTCTATTTCAATAAGATTTTCCAAAAAATATTTAATGTACGGATTCGACTTAGTTACAATTTTATTATATGTATAGATTGTCAATGCGAAAGTTTGTAAGTGTATGTGTATAATGTATGTTTATTATTTCTTCATTCCAAAATAGCTGGACGGAATTGGATGAAAAGTACATAGATAGATTAATCTGGAGGAATTTTATTGAATTACTTTAATAGATGATTTTAATAAGCTACATTATATCATCATAGCTGCGCTACTTGTATGTTAGTTATTAGTCCTACTTATGTCGTCAAATTTATACATATAATAAAGTTGTAACTAAGCCAAATCTGTATATTAAATAATTTTTTGGAAAATCTTATTGAAATAGACATTATTATCAATACAGAGGCCGAATCTATAGTTTTTAGAATTTATGTCTGTCTATCTGTCTGTTACCGTTTGACGGCAAAATCACTGAAGGGATTTTAATGAAATTTGGTATGACGATATCTGGTTCAACATATAGGATACATTTTACTGCAGGAAAATATCTCAAATTTGAAAAATCTATGGTAAATGTTCAAACGTAAGGAGGGACAAACCCGAGCGGAGCGAGGGTGAGACGCTAGTATTAATATAAATATTAATATTAACAGTTGCAAGGTCAACTTACATAGGATTGTATTGTAGAGATAGCAAACATTGACTTTGTAATATCAACAAAATCACAGTTTATCCTTCTTCTTAAAAACATATCTTTTACACAAATACAATCAGAACATTCTTATTACGTGCACATACAGAATTGCTAAAAGAAAATATCTAAAACATCGTACGTAATATCAACCTTTTACAAATTCTAGTATACTTTACAGAAACAAATGAAATCGCACAATCGGAAGAGTCGGAAACGGAGCCATCTTGTGAAAGAGTATGGGAGCACAACATGGCGGCGCGCCCTCTTCCGGTGCCTGTGGAGAACGAGCCTTATTACATGAACATAGATAGAACTGAGGCGGAAAGCATGCTTATGGGTCAGCCCGATGGCACTTTTATACTGAGGCCTTCAAGTCAGGTATAATATAATATTATAAATATAAATATAATAATTGCAAAAGTTTGTTAAAATTTTCATACTTTTGACCGACATTAAAAAGGCAGAGGTTGGCTAATTGCGAAACGATTTTCTCAATTCATAATTAATTATTAATTATAGCATAATTAAATATTTTTCATCTAAAAAAGTATTGCATGTATGTATTCAGCCCTTTTTATCGTCCCACTGCTGGGCACGGGCCTCCCTTCAGTACGAGGGGAATCAGGCCATAGTCCACCACGCTGGCCAAGTGCGGGTTGGCGGACTTCACATGTCTTTCGAAAACTTGCTAAGTTCTCTCAGACATGCAGGTTTCCTCACGATGTTTTCCTTTACCGTAAGGCAAGTTGTAATCATGTTGGAAATGATTCGCACATGAAAATATCAGAGGTGCGAGACGCGGGATTTGAACCCGCTTCACTCGGTTTCCCAAGCGAGCGCGTTACCACTGGGCTAGCACTGCCTTTGCCATTTGCCACACTAAAAAAGTATACCGACCACAAATTCACTTTTTAAGGGATTATTTCACACTTTTTTATATGATTGTAATAAAAAGTGGAAGTAATTATTTTGGAATATTATTTTTTATTTATAAGATACCACTATTAAGCTATATAATAAATTTTACCTATTCATTAAAAAAATATAAAATCATACTGGGCGAAGAATCACGTGAGTTATTTTACATGTTAACTTACTTCTACGCCTTCTGGCAAAAATAAAACACAAGAACTTTTACAACACTATCGGTGCCAAATCTGTAGCAGTAAAATAAAAAAGGTGATTAAATAAGAAATAAAATGTTTAAAATATAAAAAAGTCGAGTAATCCGGAAAGGAAATGCTGCCAACAGTTTAATTTGAGTGCGTTAACGGTTGGCAGCGCTGCCGCTTTAATCTTACATTACTTTGTTTTTAATTCAGAAGACTCGTGTTATAGTATTTAAATATCTAAAATGTTATATTTATGTATTTGCTAGAGTTAGTCAATAACCTATTGTTCTGATTTATCTAAAATAAGATCATGTTTTTTATTCAATATCCTAGAATAAACCTATATAAACGAACTAGCGACTGTGTGAATAGAAGTAACAGTAGTACATACTGCTTCATGTCACAATCTGTGTACTAAATTTAAATTTAAAGCCGTTATAGCGTTAAGGGTAACAAACGTTCATACCTACATATACATACATTTTTTCGCACTTATAATAGTAGGTCGATAATATTTTTGTACAAATCGAACTTGAGACTTCCATAAACTAGTCATAGTATACATCTATCTACATATATCTACCACTAACCTACAGTCATTGACAAATATTTAATTAAGATTTTCCACTTTCAGCCGAACCATACATACACATTAAGTGTGTCTTGTTCCAAAGCAGTCCACAACGTGGCCGTGCGACGTCGTCCTGACGGCCGCCTTGCGCTGGGCTTTGCGAGACGCGGAGAAAGAAGCTTCACTAGCATTGCTTCCTTACTCCGTCATCACAGAAAACGGAGACTTTTGTTGGTGGCTGGAGGAGAGGTGATAGGAGCAACGACTTTGAACGATTGTGCACAGTATTATCAAACACCTAGCAATATACCTGTCTTGCGTTAAGTATAAATATAAGCAGATTAAACGCAGCTCTGCTTGTTATTGCATTGACCCAGTACACATGATCCCCTTTTTCTATAGAGTAGGAAGAATGTAGAGCTTAACTTATACATATCTTAGTCTCTACTGGACGTCTTGGCGTGTCATTATACTTAGTTTATTTCCTCCACGACCACGGACATGCCGGCGTTACAGTTAACAATAGATTTCCTAGAAATTTAATTAATTTCTTAGAAATTTACCTGGAGATGTCAAAATTGTTTTTGAAGAATTATCATTGTTTTATAAAGTTTTGTCGAACTGTCTGTATGAATACGGCTATATGGGGATCAAAGAAAGCTCATTATGGAGAAACGGAGACTTTTACTGGTGGCTGGTGGAGAGCTTACCGGATAAGCACTTATTATTATATTTTACGTATATACGTGTAACTAGTATCTGACTCGTACTAGATAGAGCTCAGAATGTAGAGTTCTAACTATACCTTTGTATAATCGCTTGTAGCGACGCATTGAACTGAAAACGTTAATAATTTAACTAATATTCAAATCAAAGAATCGAAATACGGCTAGCTATACTTAGTTCTTGAGTATTACTCAAGAACTATTAAATAGACCGCTATTTTTTTAAATTATATTTGTAAATATCTCTCAAAGTTTTTTTTCATTTTAGCCAAATTGGTTTAACTACTCTCAAGAGATGCGCTTACTAATGACCAGCAATTCATTTTTATTCATTTAGATTATTATATGTGCAACTTTGAATTTCTTATTAAATTCATATATAATTGTCACATGGATATACATATAAATGAGCTAGGTTAAATAAGCTATATACTTACTAAATATTTTGTTGTAATTTGTTTTCGGAGTATATAAATATATAAATTGCTTTATAAAATACCGTAGCTTAAAGCTTATTATAATGCAGGATACTAAGAGAAGATGACATTCTACAATAGTTAAAAAATATAATTAAAAAAAAATGTATTGAAATGATAAAAATCGTCACGTTGTCTGTATATATTCTTTTAGATTTGTATTCTTTTAAATAGCTGCCTCGGTGGTTTAGTGGCTGGCATGTATTTCCACGGATTCAAAGGTCCTGGGTTCGAGTGGGGCGGGCCAATTTCAGTCATTGAGTATTTCTGTCAAGAAATCCTGAGTAACAGCCCGGAGTTGGGAAGGTGGCGGTGTTTCATCCTCGTGACTCCAAGATAAGAGCACGTGTTTCGTCCTACGCCTGAATCGGTTGTGTTTTAAACATTTTTATCTTCTCGTTCCAAGATTTTATACCAAATGTAATCGAATTCGAAATAAAATAAAAAGATGAATCGTTTGAAGCTACAGCCTTCTATCAAAATTAATCAAATTGAGTTAGACTTTTACAGTACGTTGTTCAAATTCAACTTATGAAGAAAAATTATGAATTTTTCACGTCGTTGTTGTTTCTCGATGCTCGTTAGCGACTGCGTTTAATAATTAATGATAATTATGGCCAATAGTTTTCGCTGACATGTTGATATTTCAGTGTAGTTCGAATATAAATATTTTAATGTTAGAGATACTTACTGAAAAGATATTTTTTTATAGTTTTATATAAAAATTTTGACATAGATATTATTGTCTATAACATAGCTTGTGTAATCTAAAACAATAAATTTTGTAATATTGTAATAGTGTATAAGAAAGAATATTTCTTAAAATATACTTATCAATATAATCTGTATTTTATTTTTACCACTCAATATATAACCGTTTGTAAAAATATGAAGTCTAAAGTAATTTAAAAACATACATAAACGTACTAGCAGGACGCGCGGCTACGCTTGCGCTCAATCTACAAAAAAAATCTTTGGTTTTATGTTATACAGCGACTCACCTTCGTCTCTTTGTATTTATATAATATTGTTCATACAAGAATACTAAAATTGCGATTAAAAAATGGGGATTGGGGGTAGGAGGGTGAAAGATACTTTACGACCTATTCTCATATCTACCAAATATACAAAAAAATCATTAAAATCGGTCGAGCCGTTTCAGAGGAGTGCGACCACAAACACTGTGACACGAGATATTTATATATTACATTAGATTATTATATATTTGATATCATATATCCAATATGGTCTTTAACAAAATGCTATTTAAAGTTCATTTGTCTTATAAGTTGGTCGAGTGTGTAAGTGATCCTAGGAAGCCCCATTAAGACCGGATAGGTTTGTTGGGTTTTAGTGGGTAGTACTGGTTTTTCTAGCCAGCCCACATACACATACTATATTATTATATGCAATGCATGTAAAAAAAGAAAAGATTATTTTCTCTTTTTGTTCGTCGTTCGTCATTATTCTAATGAAATTAGCTGGCGAGAACTCAATAGTTGTTTTTTTACAGTATGTTGGATATTTTAATAAATTAATCAGTTTAATAAGAGATGTCTGTCTCCATTTCTAAGATTTTTCGTGGAAATTAAGGAAAAGGATTTTTTATCTCTAACAAAAGCCACCCCTAACGTAAACTCGGCGGCGTTACAACGGCTGTGGTTCCTGAGACAAAAATGGCTAATTAACGTTGTGAAAGGACTTGTCGAATATGAAAAGAGTAACGGCGCTAATGATCGTCCGCTATTTACTTTGGCCGCTTTGTCTTTGAACTTCTATCTATTCACTAACAAAGGGGTTATTAATAAGAAATTATGAAAGTAAACGATAAGAAGTTATATCTAAAGAAGTATTTACGATTTTATTAAAATTTCTAGCGAGTTACCAACGCTTTCTTCGGAAGTCCTCGAAGTGCTTTACTTACTGTGTGTAATATGTCCATTACTTTAGGTCACAGTCTATAATTTGTGTACTATATTTCATCCTAATCCGTCTATCTGAAGTTTTGTGGTAATGTACATACAAACAAACTTTCATATTTTAATTGTAGCGTCATTTGATAGTATGTGGGATTTCTAATTATATTTGTACATATTGTCAATTATAAAAAAAACTAATTTTCATCCCCTATTTCTAAAGGATGATTTTTTAAGGGTGTGAATTTTCAAAAAAAAAAAAAAATTAATCGACTCAAACTTGACCGATTTTTATTTTATATTTTTCCCTTTATAAACAATAACAGTATAATTACAAAGAAGTAAAATTGCCTGTTATACTTGTATACAATTAACGTCTTAACTTCTGAAGAGCAAAGTTACTGCGAGTTTGCCGAATAAAATTAAACAGCGCATTTCGAATTTTTTCCTACAAAGTTGGAATTTTTAGCGTATTTTCTGTGTTAATAGGATCATCCATTTATTTTTCTTTTATACTAGGTCTTTGCTGATGTTTTACGATAATATAAATAATATTGTGTTATTTTAAGTTTGTATATGTATGTATTTGTTACTTATGAAAAGCTGAAATCGCTCGACGAATTTGAATGTTTAATTTGCAGATAGACTATAGCCTTTTTTAGACGTTGAGAGTACATACTTACATACCCCTATCAAACACACGTGGTTTTGTGGGATTCATCGGCTAGAAAAGACAGTATTACCCACTAAAATTCAACGCAAGTCTCTCCCATTTTAATGGGGCGTCGCAGGATAGCTAAACGTACTTCCCCACGACGCTACGGCAGCAGATCTGCTGAAGCAGACCACAACAACCATAGAGTTGCTTCAACGGTCCACTCTGCTATCAGAGAAGTACCAGGAGTAACCCACATGACACCACCCACCTAGGTGGACCACCTCCCAGTGCGTTTCTTGCGTCCGACTGGATTGCCGGTTGCTAACAAGCCCATCCAACACGACAAGGTAAATACATCGGAAAGAGGCAGTTTGGGGTCTATAGACTATAGCCTAAATTTACAATTAGTAATACAATTTTCCAAAAAATGTATACAAATATAAAGGGATGCACTCGAGTGAAGCGAAGGTAAGTTACCTACTAGTAGTAACATAAAAAAAATAGTGCGGGAACTCTAATACTTTTAGAGTCTAAAACACTTTAAATACTATACTACTATATGAATATGTATATTTAGGTCACGTTTTCCCTTAAAATATATTCACGAAAATATATTCATTAGGAAGGTTTTAAATTTGTATGGATAACAAATAAACTAAGCGATTTTAAATAAATGAAAAGTAAGCAAGATTGAAAGAGGCAGTTAACTCAAAGGCGTTGTTTCAAAGACAGGCGTCGTAATTTTATTTATAGATGTCCATGTTTTTTCATCATTGTTTGTTGTATCTTAATTCGCGCTTTTAAAAATATGACTAGGGGAAAAAGTATAAGGTCCCATTAAATAAAAGCTTCATTTTTATCAATTATTTCCGTGGATTGGTTTGAATTTTAAACCCACTGACACGCTTTATTAACATCATAGGGTTAAATTAAAAGAAACATGTTTAAGACATTTTTTGCCCCGCACAACCACTCTGTGGAATCAGCTATCGCCGGCGGTCTTTCCGAACCGCTACGACCTGGCCACCTTCAAGAAGAGAGCGTATTCTTTCCTTAAAGGCCGGCAACGCATCTGCAAGCCCTGCGGTGTTGCATATGTCTATGGGCGGTGGTGATCACTTTCCATCAGGTGAGCCACCTGCCCGTTTTCCCCCTTAGTCCCATAAAAAAAAAAGAAAACCATAAAGCTCGTATAGGATAATTAAAAATTGTGTCTTAAAAAAGTTTCTGGGTCTGGGATTTGATTTAGTTAATATTTAACTTTAATTTCCATGTCCTCGGCTTCGCTCATATATTATAAGAAAATTCGCTTAAAAAGCACCGGCCATCTAACACTACGTTTAAGTCTTTAAGAGTAGAGCAATTATTACATATAATGTATGTATGCATATGACCGTTTTACAATAGTTTATTCATTTTTTTGTTATACACGTAAGTATGTACGTAATGAAGTAGGCTGACCGAACCATATAATTTCAATCTACCCTTTTATTCATTAATTTTAAGCTCTCATAATCATCCCTAAACCTCAAACCTGATCTTTTAA